TACAACTCACCATAGTTTGGGGACCCCTGCAGGGACTCCATAACTCCAGATCTTCTAACTTAGCATTGGCCAATGCTGGTCTTTTAAACTCTCCCTCTTTCTCTTCAACCTCCAGCTAAGAGGCAGTCTTTAGAAAGTGTTAACAAGGCAGCACCAGGGGGTTTCGACTCCCCTCTCTCTGCTACTAACCCCTGCAAAGCCCAGAAATGCTTCAGATAGAAGCTGGGACTCACGCTTTCATATGCATAATACAGCTATGCAGAGAGTGAGCTTTTCACCGGGATTTCTGGTGGTGGCGGTGGGGGGACCCTACCTGATTCGGCATCAAAAATCTCTACATAGGGCATCACGGTTTGCTAAGCACTTTCTCTCCCACTCTTTTACTTGGTCTTTACACCGACTCTGGGAAGTACTCAAGTTATAGATTTTTATCCCAATTTCGCAAAAGAGGAAACTGAGCTTCAGAGAGGAGACATGTTTTTCTCAAAGTCATTCACATTGTAAGTAGTCATGCTGAGTGGAACCCAAGACTGCTTGTGCCAATATTACACCTCTTCCACCTTTTCTGTCACACAGCCAATCAATTGATAAGTCATTTCTTGGAAACATTGACTTCCCAGTGCTTTGGGCATGTACAGATGAGAAGTGCAGTCCTTGCCTTCAAGGAGCTCTCACAGACCAGCTGGCGAAATGGACGAGTAAATCAATGATAACAATTCAGGACTCTAATCATTTAATAAATCATTTCTAGATTTTTTTATTATTTACCTCCAAAATCTAATATAGGCCATATGCTATTCTAAAAACTATGATATGCAAGAATGATATTCAAAATAATTGACAAATGGCATGGCAGAGGCACCAGCCATAAACAGGTGCTGGCTATAAACAGATCTGCTAATAAGTAGATGAAAAGGCCCTCAGGTGTCCCCGGGCTGGTAGGGTAAAGAGGCAAGGTAAATACAGTGTGCAACATGCCAAACATCAAAAATGGTAGAGTGGATGAGCATGGAGGCGGGGCCCTGCTCTCTGGACGTAAGGGTCATGGAAACTTTCTTAGAAGAAATACCAAGAAGTAAATCTTAAAAAAATAATAAAGGACTTTGCCATGTGGATGAGGCAGTGATCATTCTAGGGAGTTGAATGTGCAAAGGCTCAAAGGCTTCTAAATTATTTCTTTACAATTTTTACTTAAAATGTTTGAGTTCCTAAGACACTCAGGTGTTGCACATTTGATAACCAGGACACTGAGGGGCAGGGGAGCACCGAGGTTTGCTCAGTAGTTACACAGTAAGTTGGTGCAGCATCAGGACGTGGACCCACCCTCAACCAAAGCTCTTTCTACTCTGCTGTGCTGACCAGACAATCAACTTACTGGTTGATGGTGCAGCTGACTTGCCCTATTCCATCAGTCAGGGAAGCTCTCATCTGTCTTGCCACTCACTTGTTAAAGTCTTTGAAATTTTTGTTCTTTGTTGTCTAAAGAAAAGTGAGAAGAGACGGAAAGGCAAAGCACTCAGCAAAGATCTGCAGACAAGTTGGGAAACCTTGACTCTAAGAAAATGCATCTAACTGAATGACTGGCCCACTGTGTTGGATCAGGGCTCCTTCATTGCTTTGGGAGAGATTTCTGGCAATTGTACAGTCACAGGGGACCTTTGGACTGGAGTTAGCACACTAGATGAATCCCAAGAACAGGAGGAGGACGTGGGGAGTAGTGAAGGAGTGCATCATCAGAGTGGGAAGCAGGTGATCCCGCAGGGGAGTGTACACTCAGTTTCCTCAGCTAGGGCTAGTCTTGACCAATATTTAACTCATTGGCTGATCTGCCTGGGACACAGTATGTATGATATTACATTTAACAGGCTTTTAAGGAAATGAGAATGATCTCACCTGAGGCAAATTCCCATGCTCCCTCTGGCCTCCAAACCACAGCCTCCATCAGCAACTCGTGAATAATAATTGCAAACAAGCAACAACAACTTCAGTTTTTGGCAGGGAAGTCAATGCAGAGGTGGTGTTTATATCCGTTTGTTCTGCCCTATCACATGGAAAAAAGTGTTTATGGCACCGAGAAGAATGCAACCATCAGAGATCAGATGACAAGAGGTAGGACCTCTGCCAAACAAGAGGATAAATGGTTATTAATTTCCATAAACATCCTCTGCTGTAATGTCTGGTGTGGTTTAGTTGCTCAGTTCTGACTGTAATGGCCATCTGCATGGGAAGCAGGCATAGAAGCCTCAGGTAAGTAATTTTTCATCTCTGTGGTCCTTTCCTGACCTGTGAACTGGACACCATAATCCAGTTTCCTTCTCAGCCTCTATGGGTCAAAAGGAATGAATTTAATTATAAAGCACAACATGCCAAACATTTATTTGCTCTCCCTTTACTCCACTCATTCATTAAACATTGACCGTACTTCTACAACACCCAATGCTCTGTGCTAGGCTGATGGGATCACTGACTGCAGAAAGCCTGGAGTCTAGGAGGGAAATCTAAAAATATACATACATAATTATACCATGTAGAAGCAATGAATGTCCTAATAGAATGACAGATATTATAGTGTGTGGAAGAAATTATTATGGAAGAAATCTATCTAGGAAGCTCCATAGTGAAGTCAGATCAGAAATGGGTGATAAATAGATGTGAGGATAGGGAAGTGGGGATTCTACGTGATGTGCAGCATAAGCAAAGGTTGAGGTGTTGGACAGCATATGATACATACAGACCCATTTGCCTGGAATAAAGACTGCAAAAGGTCCAGGGATGGAAAACAAGTACTTGTCTGGGCCCTCCTCAGTCAAATGCCAAGGTGTGGCTTAGGTATAGCTTTTTAGAGAAAATGGCTTTTATAAGTAGCCTCTTCTAAAGATACATAAATAAAGCTAATCATTTCTATGTTACCAGAATACACTGCTTGCGATAGTTGTTACCTGTCAGCTCCACTAGCCTGTTTCTTGCCTTGAGGGCCAGCCTGGTCATATTTGGCTTTATTTTCCCCATGATTGGCTAAACCACTTGCAGTAGACACTAGTCAATGATTGTAGAATCCTAGGAGGGCTTGGGAGAGGGGTTTGGGTTTAGAACATTCCCAGAAAAAGCCATATTTATCATCCAGTTAGATGATACTCTCCTGTCTTATTTAATACACATAATTACAAATATAGATTGATTATATATTATATGCATACATAGTTTATATACCATGTAACATGTATTATACACTATTCTAACATTTTATTCTCTAACCCAGGAGATAAACCCAGCAGACTTAGGAAAGCCAAGAGGCATGGAAGCATTCACTGCTGGTTGAAAGACATAGCCTCGTGCTACTGAAATATGCTTTGGCTACAGCATAGAATTAAAAACTTCCAAAACAACTAATATTTGAATCAGCCAAAATGGTTTTAAAAGTCCAAATGAGCTGTTTTATTACATGTCTATTTATGGGCTTTCTTGTTGTCTGGAAGGGTCACTTGAGCAGAGAATCCTAAAATTCTGGAGCCAAAGCAACCATAGAGATGACCTAATCTTGTCCTGCTTTTTTCCAGATGGGGAAACAGAGGATCACAGCAATAATAATAATTGTGGGGATGATATCATTTAGTATTGGAAATAAGTAGATAATTGAGACCGCCATTATTAGCAGTTATTTAAAAAAAAAAATCAAAGATCTCTCCTAATTAGCTTTATGGAACAAAGAAATATATTTTCCATATTCAAAGATGACAGTGATTTCTACACAAATGTTGTAACAATCTAGTGGGGAGGGCATAAACTATTGTTTGAATACCATCATACCCTATTCCTGGACAGTAATGCGTAATGGAAAGAACTGAGGAGCACAGTGGTTGGAATCTAAACACTTCCCAGGTGTATGTCCTTAGTGAAGTAACCTTATTTCTCTAGACCTCAGTTTCTTCATCTGTAAAAAGGAGACAGCTGAACCTATCACACTTAGTGGTTGCAAGGATGTAAGGAAACAGTGTTCATAAACTACCCTGTGCAGCACTAATAAAGATTTAATAGAGGAGGGTTCAGTGGTAGTTGCAGGTGACCTGATGTTTCATTTCCCTCCACTATCACAAACTACTATGTGCTGCAACAAGACCAGAAATCCCTCCAGCATGGGTGAAGTGCTACTTCCCCGCTCCCTTAAATGCCCCTGTGCGCGCTGCTGATACTCAATGCATGCTAACCACCACGCGAACAGATGACTCAGAGCTTGGAAGCAATCCACAGCAGGCTGGAAAGCAAAGGCGCAGCTTATGGCTCAAAGATTAAGTTGTTACCCTTTTAAGTTACTACTTTTCTTTAAAGAAAAGGTTGTGGGGAACACCTAGCAGCACTGAGAGAAAACCTCAGAAACCCTTCCCCCAGGGCATCCAGCTGAGAAGACCCCACCAGGACCAGGGCAGGAACAGTGTCAAAATGCCTCCCCTGTAGTAGGACACTGGGGCTGGAACAAAGACGCCTTCAGGCAGCTGGGCATGGCTGGCTCCCACCTGGGAAAGGCAGGACTGATCTCTGCTCCCAGCGCGGTCCCCACCTGCTGAGAACTAATCCTGGGTTATCTCTTTGCTGGCCCAGAGAAACCCTAAACGCCCCAGGCTTTTACAGGGCTTTATCTCCTCTTTCCAGGAACTCAGCTGCAGTTCCAGCGCCTTCTCCGCTTTCTCCAAGGAGCCACTGAGCAGCTGCTGCCCTGAGCCAGGTGAGCCGCGGTCCCGGGGAGCCTGAGCTGCTAGTCCTGCTCCCTCTCGCTCGTCTCCTCGGGCTTCTGTCTCACAGTTAGAAAACCCGCGTGCGGAGCAAAGCAAAAATCACACTTTACTAACAACTACTCTGTGTCTGTCGAGGGTAGGAGGCGGGGGAGCAGGAATTCCTACTTTCGCCATAAATTGTATGCAAATGGGTTCCTTCCGTGGCCGAGAGCCAGGAGCGAGTGCGTCTTTCATGAGCTAACCCTGTTCCGCTGGGAGGGCTGTTCCTTTAATTCGCCAACTGAAAAAGTGGGAAAGGATGTCTGGAGGCGAGGCGTCCCATTACAGAGGAAGGAGCTCGCTATATAAGCCAGCCAAAGCTGGCTGCACTGGCCACAGCCTGCCTACTGTCACCCGCCTCTCCCGCGCGCAGACACGCGCCCGCGCCTCTAGTCGGCACAAAGACAGCGCGGCTGGGGGGACTCTGGGGGCCACGCACGTGGGAACCCGCCGCTGCTCTCGCCCAGGTACTTCTTCCACGGACCTGGCTCACTCAAGGATCTAGGTCTCTCCCACTGCGGAAAGGTAAGTCTGATTCACTCCCATCACCCAAGATCGTTACGATGTCCTGTTTGCATTCCTGGTACCAAATGGGTTGTGGTTTTATCGTTATAAAACTTTTGCTTTATTTTCACCGCCGGCAAAAGCGGGAATGCGTTGTTGGTTGTGATCAGATGCACCTTACTGTTCCTAACTTGCCCCCCTCCCCAGGCCCCCCGCCCCCGTCTTTCATTTTTGTATGTTTTTTTAGCTCTATGAATACTCACACTTGGAAGGAACTTTTTGTAAAATTCTTATCTCTGCCGTTCTGCATAGGAAAGTAAGAATTTTCTCTTAACCCCTTGCCTGGTCAATTCACCTGTGGATATTCTTTCTTTGAGAGTTAGGGAAGTAAAGTTTTAAAGGGGAGTTTCCTCATAAAATTACTCTGGGATGGGTTATGGGGAGAGCGATATAGCTTTAGAGAGAACAACAAAATTTCACATCCAAACAGCCTTTACAGTTCACAAAGAGTTTTGTACCGTCCCCTCATTTGATCCTCAGCAGCATCCACCCTGTGGTCAGACAAGCAAAGAGATGAAGGCTGGGGCAGGAGAGAGGAGGTGACTCCTAGGGCCAGTCCAAGAGTGGTGAACCCCAGCTTCGGTTCTTAAGGGCGGGGGGATGTATTGTGGATACCTCCCGATTCGCTGATCTCAGGTGGAGTACACATGAATGTTTGGGGTGCCTAGAGCTAGTGGTGTCCTACATCTTCCCTTCTCACCTCTCATCACAGAAAGCCCTGAGGAACAACTTCCCCCAGTTAGGGAGCCGACCTCCCCACTGGTGGATTTTGGAAAGCACACAGGGGCTCCTCTCACCCATCAGTGTTGAAGGGTGATTAAGAGCTCAGGTTTCCAAGCCAGAGGCAACTCTGTTTTTCTCCACCACCACCGTGCACATGACCCTGAGAAAAGCCCATAATCTTCTGGGACCTCAGTTTCCACTTCTTTAAAATGGGAACAATAACGTCTGTTGTTATGAGGAGAATGAGGTATAAAGAGATTGGCAGTGAGTTGCTCAGTAACTAGAAGTTTGGATCATCATTGTCATTGCCAAAAACTGCCATCACTCTGGTAGTTAAAAGAGGCACTTAGCCAATTGTGGATTGTTTCTTGTGCGTTCCTCAGCCTGCCCCCAGCCCCCGCCTTTTTATCTCGCCCAGTCTGGGAGCGTCTTACTAGGCTGGCGACTGGCAGGTTGGAGACTTGGCTGTATTTTACAAACAGGAGGTTGTGTTGGCACAGCCGGGGAGAAAAGGTAGCAGCCCAGGGCTGGATGTAAATGTGTTCTGATTCCAGAATGTCACTAGGTTTTGGGTTTAGGCACTTGCAGATTCTAAAGCTGTCGGCTATAAAGTGCACTGCTACTGGGGACTAGTTGGAAAAGCTTTCTGTCCGGCGGGAGAGCAGGACGGGGCGCCTTGCCTACAGAATGAATGCCTCTTTTTCATGTTCTTGTGGACCTTTTCTCCCTTTTTTATGGAGCTTTCCCATACGTGCTTTAGAAACGAAAACTGCTGCCCACCCCAGCCAGTTTCCACCTTGTCCTGGGGTATGGCGAGCCCAGTTCAGGACTGGGAAAAGTTTGTTCAGTCCTAAATAAACTAGTGGAAAGTGTGCTGGCATCATATGCATCTGAGCCCTTTGCAAGAGATACAAGTGAGTGAATCTTGGCCCTGTGCATTTCAGGAGGATGACTGAGTTTGGGAGAACAAAAGGGTACGTGATGTGAGTATTTTCTGGGTGAATTGGATAAAGATTGAAAGGGGTATTGCCAAGCTTTACAGTCATTGAAGATATTTTTTTTCCTCTGTGCTTTATTTAAACAACTTTGCTTCCCCATCTTATCTGCCACTAACCACCCCCTCCCCCCACTCCAAGAAGTTACTAACTCCCAGCCCTTAGCTTTGTCATTTGTATGAAGAGGATGACAGTCTATATCCCATAGGGCTCTTGCTTGCAACATTCAGATGAGATAAGACATGGTGAACTCTTGACACATAGTAAGGGTTCAATAAATGGAGGCTTTTCTTGGTTTTTCTGCTTAGCAATTTACAAGGATTTGTCCAAGACTAATGTTCTAAGACAATGATTTTTAAGCTTACTTTTAACAATTGAAATATTCATCAAATGTATTTAGGGTGAAACCTGAGTATATGACAGGTGAATGGGGGGCTGCTTTGGTTGACATGGGGTCAGAGGGTCTAAAACTAACTCCATTGCTCTTAGCCTCTGGAACATTTCTACAGAACCTTAACAACACGAAACACAGTTACAAATCACGAAGCCAGGAAGTGTGCATTCAGGTCGAAATTCTGCACTTCAACGGGAATGTTTGCCCTTCTGAGTCACCTTCTATAACAGGAGTAGGAGCAATTCCCCAAGTAGTGCAGTAGACAGGAGTATGTGTGAGAAGTTTAAAAGGCTTAAGCAAGGCTGATTATTTTGATTAATTTTAATGACAGTAATAGCCAAAATATATGATGAGCCTACTCTCTAATCTATAGGCTCTTTCTGGACATCATCTCACTAAATATCCACAACAGGTCTCTGAGGCATGGACTGTGCCTATTGGAAAAAGAAAGGTCTTGGTGAGCAGAGAGATTGAGTAACTTTTCCAGAGTCCCAGAACTCGGAGTGAGGAAGCCAGGTTGCAGACCCAGGTCACCAAACCAGAGACATTCTGCCATGTTCTTTCTGAGTGCTTCTCTGCTTCTCGTGCTGCCATTAGAAGGAAAGCACTTCCTTTCTGACTAAACATGCCCCTCCAGGCAGACTGTGGCCACCCATAAATTCAGCGGTAGCCTGATCATATAACCAGAATGGAATCTGGAAAGGGAATTCAAGCTGACAGAATGAAAAACATATCCCCCTTAATCCTACCCTTTCTAGTGCTTACAGTGAATTAAGAACACCTATTCTCTCCTCTCCCTAGATTTCTATAGACATCTAGCTGTGCTTTCTTATAGAAAAAAATATCCAGCTAACCTAAAGCACAAGCCCCTCCATACTGAAGCCACTTCAGTTTGAAATGTAAAAAGTAGGTTATAAACATATAGTTGGCTCTAAATATGCAACCTCTTTGTGATGATAAAACACACAGCCACACACAAAGTTAATATTGAGGGCTATGTAACACATATGTGATGGGAGGGTTTGCCTATGGTTTCTCTTCTAATTCTCACTCTAACAATGCAAATTATGAATTACTGGCTCCATTTTATGGATAGAGAAATAAAGGCTCAAAAAAATTAAGTGACTCATCTGAGGTCTTTCCATAAGTGAGGGGCAGAGCTGGCTTTGACCCAAGCTTTCTAACTAAAACCCGGCTACTCTTTCTGCTATGTTGTGTTGCCGCCTGAAGTCAGGCTGGGCTGACTGAGTGTAGAAACCTTAAACAGTGTCTTGGTGAATGGCCAAGATGGTAGAGAAGCCCCCAGCTGGCATTGGTGTCTATTGATTTTACAGAATAGCCCTGCATGTATCATTTTTCATGGTGCTCTGGAAAGGTCGGCTCATGGTGGTGCAACTCTCTGCCTGGAAACAGAAAAGTTCAAATTTCAGCCCCGGGAGAGAGAAGAATGAAACTAGAGGTAGCAGTCAGGTCACTACTGCTGATTTTCATTCCAGAAAAGTAGGCACACACTTCTCTGTGCTCTATAGGCAGGAGCCCTGATTGGGAAACCAGAGCTGTACCTGCACCCTCTCTGAGAGCCAGGTGAGTGGCACATCTGGTTTTAAAGGGGCTGACTGGGAGACAGAGTGAAATCAGTGTGCCCCAGCCTCAGGACAGTAAATCCCAGGACCTTCAGGAAATGGTTGTAGCCTCCAAGCCACAGATACAAATTCAACAGAAGACTCAGAGAGGAAGATTAGGATTCAAGCACCTCTCACTCTGGGAAGATGTCAGGGAATCCCCTTGAATCTAATCCTGGGCCACTTTGAACACCTTCAACATGTGGGAAACATTAGATGAAGGCTGCCTTCCAAGGAGGAAAATCCCCTCAAACTGTGATGAAACCAGCCCCCTGCAAACCCCGGGCAATAATTTTGCCCAATACAAATGACAGCGGTGGCCTTACCTCCCATAGCGGCCATACGCACCTTGTGACATCTTTATAGAGGAGAAAAGTCCACATACCTACTTGATTCTTACCCTGGTGACCAGATTTTTTTTTTCAGTTATGCCCATAAGCCGAGAAATTCTTTTCCCTTTCTCCTTATCTCACATGTCCAGCCTCTGGTCACCATTAGCAACAACACTATCATCACTGTCTTTGACCCTCCACCATGGACTGAAAGCAGAATGCCCATGTTGAAAGCAGGTCGTGAACGGAAAATCCCTTCCATGGGTATTTTTAGTCTACTTGTGAGTGGAAATTTTAAAAATATATATATATTTCATGCCAAGTTGTCTCAGATTTTTGAAATTTCCTGAAGTCCACGGATTCTTAATTATGTAGCCATGGTAACTCAAATAGCTCTGATTGGTCCTTTAACCCTCCCCAAGTACCCTATGCCAAGAGCCAGAGATATTTCATAAGTTCTGAAAGTAGACAGCTTTGCTTCAGAATTAACCACTGTTCACCTCTATCCCTAGAGCAGGTGAGCTGCTGCTAACTTCTACAAGAATGTGTCTAAAATGTTCTCCTAGGAGGGACCAGGGGATAATCATACTAGCTAACATTTACTGAGTACTCCACAGGCATCATGCCAGTTCATCGTCAGCCACAGTTTCCAGTAGGTATCATTCCCCTGCCCCCAATAAAACGTGGGGAACTTGAGGCTGAAAAACTTTAAGTGGCTTACCCAACACCACACAGAGGATGATCGGTGGAGTGGAACTCACACCCAGTTGCCAGTCCTGAGAAGGTGGTTAGAACCATTAGGGTGAGTAAGTGGTGCTGGCACCATAATTCTATTCATCTTCTGACAAGAGAGAGGGCAGACACAGCAAAGCTAAGAAAGAGTCAAAAACTTGTC